CCATTCACCATCTTAGCTGCAGAGGGCAGTGTCACTGGCCCTCATATGTGGGATCCGAACCGGGGCCCTCTGGCATCCCAAGCCAGTTCTTAACCAAAGCGCCACTCAGCCGGCCCCCCTAGTGCACTGTTGATGGGAAGGTAAAGTGGTACAGCTGCTGTAGAAAACAGCCTGGCAGTTCCCTAAACAGTTAAACACAGTCACCATATGACCCAGCAATTTTACCTCTAGATATGTACCCTAAAGAACTGAAAACATATTGCTCACACAAAAACTTGTACATCAATGTTCACAGTAGCATTACTGACAACGGCCGAGAAATGGAAACAACACAAATGTCCATCAGCTGATAAATGAATAAACAGAATGCGGCATATATCCATACAATACTATTCAGCCATAAAAAGGAATGAAAAATGCCACAACTTAGATAAACCTTGAAAACATTATGCTCCGTGAAGGAAGCCAAACACAAGAGGCCACATATAGATTCCATTTATATGAATATGAAGTGTTCAAAATAGGTAAATCCATAAAAACAGAAAGTAAAATAGTAATTGCCAAGGGATGGGGGAGGGGAAACGAGAAGGGATGGCATTTTTTCTGTGGTGATGGAAATGTTCTGGAATTTGATCATGGTGATGGTTGCATAACACAGTGAGTATACTAAAAACTACCAATGTGTAAAATTGAAAACAGTGAATTTTATGTTATATGAATGATCTGTCCATTAAAAATATAATAATAAATCTGAGTCAAAAGAAAAAATACTTCATGTGGGGACTCCGGCCCTGGGGTGTGCATGCAGAGGACCTGTGCCTCTCTAGTGCCTGCGGGACTACGCTCGCATGCTGGAGGGATGAATCCAGTCCCTACTCCAAGCAAACACAGCCTCGCAGGTGAAGGGACCTAGTTCTAACCACACACTCCTTCTGAGAGCCAATTGTTCCACTCTCCACATTGCTGATTTCCCAATGGAGAATTGCACCTGGTGGTCACCTGGGAAGCACACATCGGTGCTGTAAGCAGGGATGAGACAGAAAGCTGGAGATGACCAAACTGCACCGGGAAACTGTGCAGCGTTCACAGGGCTTGCTGCTGACAACTCACCTTAAACCCGCCTCCGACTTCTCCAAGAACATTTTCAACTGGCACCCTGGTGTTTTCAAAATGGACTTCACAAGCTGAAACACACAATTGAAGGCCTTAAATGCAAACCACTTTGCACTTGACCTTGCAGGCATGCAATTCATTCATTCATTCATACATGCATTCAATCTACATCTACTGAGAGGACAGCACAAAAAGACAAGGTTTCAGTCCCCATGGAACTCATACTTTGGTTTGGGAAATAATAAACAAGATGTTATAACATTGTGGTAAGTGCTATGGATGACATAAATACAGCATAGTGACAGAAATGGAAGTTGGAGGGGAGTGGATAATACTATTTTTACTAAGGGTTCACTTTTACTCTCTACTAAGGGTTTCAGACTTTTCTAAGGTGAAGTTTAAAGGATGAGAAAGAGCCAGAGACAAAGAAGCAAGATGGCACAGCACTTTCTAAGGCCCCACGCCAGATGAAAGAATCGGTCCCATCTCACTCTGCTTTAATGCAGCCACAGCCTGCACTGTGGGCCTGCGGTGGGAGGTTTGCCATTCCCTGCCCACAATGCCAGATTTGGCCATATGACTTGCTGTGGCCAGGGATGTGGAGCTGACCTAACAGGAATAGAGGCCTTAACTCTGCTGATCCAGTCTGGCTGGGCCCCTTGGGCTCTGACAATCTGCTGTGAGGAGAACATGCCATAGCACGTTCAAGAAAACACATGGCAGACCTGAACTCAACCCACAGCACCTGCAGCCTGTGGGAGAGAAAGAGATGCTGAGTGTTGGGGCAGTTTCTCAGGTGGGTCACCGCAGCAATGGAGGACTAGCAGACCTCCAAGTGAGGATGTGCTGGTGTGTGGCAGGAAGCAAAGTCAGTGTGAGGAGAAGAGTCAGAGTACGCGTGGCATGGGCGAGGGAAAGGCAGGGAAGGAACAGGCCTCCCTCTCTATGGTGTTCTCTGTAGCTGTTTCTATGTTATATGAAAACAGCGGCTCCCATCAAGAAAAGGGAGGCTCAGGAAAGGGAAGTCATGGCTCAAGTGACCAAGCAATAGCCAAATCAAGTGCTGGCAACCAGAGTCTGCTGACCTTCTGTTCTGATGACAGCTGTGTTCAAATAGCCTGGTTGTGAAATACAATGGAATACCCATCTTTCTGGCTACTGGGTCCCATTTATGGCTTAAGCACATGGGCTGTGAGGCCTGGTCCTCCTACCAGTTCTTGTTCCTTCACAGGCTGTGTGTGTGTGTGGGGGGGGGGGGCCTGCCTCCTCCGCTGATCTCCTCTTGCAGGGCGACTGCAGTTCCAGTGGGTACCACCTACCCATACCTCAGTATGGACAGTGCCCCACAATATTGCACTGCAGCAGCCCTGATCCTCCCTCCACCTCGGTCACTCTGGCCATCTTATCCCAACCAGCACACCAAGCCCTTCCTTATCTCTAGGCCTATGGGCATGTTCCTTCCTGCTGGAATATTCTGGGTGGTGCTCAATAGGCAGCACTGGTCATGGTAGCAACATCAGTAAAGCAGCAGCTAATTGTCAGCCTCCATGTGAACTGAGCATTTTATAGTACATCATAACACTCTCTTCTCATGTCACCTCCACAAGGAAGGTTCTATTAGCATTCCTTTCTTTTAGATGAGGAAGCTGAAGAAATGCAAATTAACTTGTTCAGGGTCACATAGCTTCTCAGTGCAAGAGCCAGGTTAGAGCTTGGGGCCCTCTGACCCCCCCCCGCCCCCCAGGATGAGCAGATGTCATGGCAAATACCACCATCCAGAACACAGGGTCCTCAAAGACGAGGTGGCAAACAGAAGTGGGTGTGGAGCCCCCTGCAGCACAGACACTCCATGATCTGAACTAGGAGACACATGAGGCAGAGTCCTGTGAGGACTCTCTTGCAGCGCTGGGCAAGTCGGACACCAGCCTCAACTGAACTGAGAGCCGACCAGGGACTTCAGGCAGGCCTGGGCAGGCAGGAGGTAGAGCAAGACGAAGGAGGAGGCTCCATAGGCAGGAAATACGGGAGGTTTCCTATAATGGAATGTTTACCTAGGACACCCCTGTCCTTGTCCTCTCTCACAAGGCTGAGAGCACTATAAGACTGTGACTGTCTCACTTACCTTGATATCACCATTGCTCGATGCATGGAGAGATGCAGTGTTTGTTGAATTAATGAGTTACTTTCAAAGAACTCGTCTGCAATGCCATGAAGAGTCATTATGGCATTCTTTTTTTTTTTAATTTTTTAATTTAAGTATAGTTGGTATACAATATTATATTGGTTATATTAGTTTCAGGTGCACAATATAATGATTTGGCATTTTTATACCTTAAATGTGATCACCCCACTAATTCCACTTATCATCTATCACTGTGTAAATTTATTATATTATTGACTAGCCCCCCTCCCTTCTGGTAACCATCCTTTTGGTCTCTGCTTCTATGAGTCTGTTTTTGTTTTGTTTGTTCATTTCTTTGTTATTTTTTTTATTTATTTATTTTTTTAGCTGAGCCATCCTGCTACCTGTTGGCAGCTCAGCGGCTGCTCAGCTCGGGCTGGACTCGAACCGCTGTTGCTCAGAGCTCAAACTCTTGAGCGAGCTCTTAACCAACTGAGCCACTCGGCCGGCCCTCTTTGTTATTTTTTAGATTCTACATATAAGTGAAACCATCCAGTATTTGTCTTTCTCTGCCTCACTTATACCCTCTAGATCCATCCATTATGGAAAAAAGATTTCATTCTTTTTTGTTGCTGCGTAATGTTCGTGTGTGTGTGTATGTGTGTACCATATCTTCTTTATCCATTCATCTATCGATGAATACCTAGGTGGCTTCCGTATATTGGATATTGTAAATAATGCTGCAATGAATACTGGGGTACATCATAGTCATTCTTCTCAGAACTAGAACAAATAATCCTAAAATTTACATTGAATAACAAAAGACCACGAATAGAAAAAGCAATCTTGAGAAAGAAAAACAAAGTTACAAGTATCGGGCTCCCTGATCTCAAACTATACTATAAGGCTATAGTAATCAAGACAGCATGGTACTGACACAAAACCAGACACAGGAGGTATGATAAAGAAAAATACGGTGAATGTTTAAATTTAAAAAAAAAATGTATTATAGTAAAAGACACATTGCCATTGATCCCCTTCAAAATACTCCCCCTCGCTTCAAACATACTTATCTCATTGTTCTTGCCACTTTCTGAAGCAGTTTTGGAAGTCCTCTTTCATGAATGTCTTTAGTTACACTGTCATGGCTGCTTCGATGTCCTGAATTGATTTACCTATCATGGTCATTTTGACTTTGAAGAAGAGCCAGAAGTCGCTTGGTGCCAGATCTAGTGAATAAGTTGGATGAAGACACACTGTAATGTTTTTATTTGACAGAAACTGCCGTACCAGAAGCAATGTGTGATCACAAAATACGGTGAATGCTGCTGCTGAGTACCATCCAACAGAAAGGCAGGGGTCTTCGATACAGGAAGCAGCACATCAAACCTTAGTAACAGTGTGTGACAAGTTTCAATTTGTTCGGTGCAGTCAGTCAGGTGTGAGCTACAGTTGAGAGAAGGTTTTTTTGTTTTTGTTTTTTTAGTTGAGCCATCCTGCCACCTGTTGGCAGCTCAGTGGCAGCTCAGCTTGGGCCGGGCATCGAACCACTGTTGCTCAGAGCTCACACTCTTGAGCGAGCTCTTAACCAACTGAGCCACACGGATGGCCCGAGAGAAGATGTGTTTTAAAGTGTGCCGTAAATCATCCTCCATCATGACAATGCTCTGTGTCACACATCGCTTCGGGTATATGGCAATTTCTGTCAAATAAAAACAAAACTGTGTGTCCTTGTCCACCTTAGTCATCGGATCTGGCACTGTGTGACTTCTTGCCCTTCACCAAAGTCAAAATGATTCACGACATCGAGGCAGCCACAACAGCACAACTAAAGACACTCACAAGAGGACTTCCAGAACTGCTTCGGAAAGTGGCAAGAATGATGGGATAAGTGTGTTCGAAGTGAGGGAAAGTATTTTGAAGGGGATTAATAGCAATGTGTCTTTACTGTAATACATTTTCTTTTATTTAAACATTCACTGTATTGTTTGATCACTCCTCGTAGATCAATGAAACCGAATAGGGAGTCCAGAAATAAGCCCACACCTATATGGTCAATTAATCTATGACAAAGGAAGTAAAAATATTCACTGGAGTAATGACAGTCTCTTCAACAAGTGATGTTGGGAAAACTGGACAAATATACGCAAACAAATGAAAGTGGACCACTTCTTACACCATATACAAAAATAAACTCAAAATGGGTTAAAGGCTTAAATGTTAGACCTGAAACCATAAAACTCCTAGAAGAAAACATAAAAAGTATTTGACATCAGTCTGAGTAATATATTTTTGGATCCATCTCCTTGGGCAAGGGAAACAAAAGCAAAAATAAACAAATGGGACTTCATCAAACTAGAAAGCTTCTGCACAGCAAAGAAAACCACCAAGAAAACAAAAAGACAACGTACTAAATGGGGGAATATATTCACAAATGACATATCCATTCAGGGGTTGATATCCAAAATACATTAGACACTCATACAACTCAATAATAAAAAAATAAACAATCTGATTGAAAAATGGGCAGAGGACATGAAAAGACACTTATCCAAAGAGGACATACATACAGATGCTAACAGAAATATGAAAAGATGCTCACTAATCATCATTAAATGCAAATAAAAACCACAATGAGATATCATCTCATACCTGTAAAAATGGCTATTATCAATAAATCAATAAACAGCAAGTATTGGCGAGGGTGTGGAGAAAAGGGAAACCTCATGCACTGTTGGTGGGATTGCAAATTGGTGCAGCCAGTATGGAAAACAGTATGGAGGTTCCTCAAAAAATTAAAAATGAATATACCATATGACCCAGCAATTCCACTTCTGGGCATTTATCCAAAGAAAATGAAAACACTAGTTGGAAAAGATATATGCACCTATGTTCATTGCAGGATTAGTTACCATAGCCATTGTGGCATTTTTAATTTGATTTTGCTAAAATGCTTAAGTGCAATCAAAACTATTTAAATCTCATTTTATCTTGACGTTTGGATGGGGCTAAAAGGTCTCTCTCTCTCTCTTTCACACACATACAGACACACAGACAAAGACACACACACACACACACACACACACACACACACCACACAGACAAAGACACACACACACACACACACATCACACAGACACACACACACAACTTACTGTTGGAGCCGCGGATGCCTAACTTATCCTCAGGCTTCCCATTAATCACTCCACCAAAGTCTCTCTCCACTATGAATGCTGTGATTTTGTCTTTTACTAAGCTGTCAGAATCAACAACCTTGGTCTTAGCAAACACAGTAAAAATATTCGCCAGTCCTCCATTGGTGATCCAGACCTGAGGAAAAAAAGCAAAAGAACTTTGGAGGAAAGCAAACTATCATGAGCGACCTCTGAGCTCCATCTTTGCCACAAGACACTCCAGCTGCCCATCAAACTTCAGGGCAGAATGTAAAGCCCTTGGCCTTGGGGTAGCCAACGCTGCATGAACAGAAGACAGGGCTCAACCCAGTCTCCCCAGAACAAGGATAATTCCTGCGAGACACAGGTGACCGGGGTGTGTGTGTGTGTGTGTGTGTGTATAGAAGAGCAGTCAATGGTACTAAGACAGCACAGGGTCTAGCACCAAACAATAGGGTTTCCTCAAGAAAGCGGGGTGGGGGCAGAAAGAATCAGAGACGGGGTGGGAGAAAGAGGAGGATGAGGGAGAGGTAAAAACTGGGAGCCTTCTCAACAAACTGCAATGTATGGAATCTATTTGGATCTTAATTCAAGCAAATTGTTTGACAAATAAAAAGGTGTAAGACAATCAGGGAAATCTGAACTCTGACTAGATAGCGAGAAATTATTACCAATTTTTAAAAATGTGATAATGGTATTATGACTTTTTTAAAAAAGTCTTATCTTTTAGAAATATAAGCTGAAACAGTTATGCATGCAATCCAGAGCTGGCAATGCTGACAGAGAAACAGGACTGGCTATGAACTAATAACTGCGGAAGCTGGCTGATGGGTGCACAGAAGTTCACTATACTAAACTTTTGTGTATGCTTCAAATTTTGCATAATAAAAAGTTTAGAAAATAAACACCCAAGAGCAGCTCAGGAGGTAGTTGGTGCATATGAAAGCATATAGACTCCAGAGCCAGAACTCCTTGGCACCAATCCTGGCTCTGCCACTAAGTAGACATAGGAAACTGACAAGTCACTGAAACTCTCTGAGCCCCTGGTTTCTTCTAAAAAATGAAAAGTAGCATCCACCCAAGAGGTGATAGTCAAGAGATGATGTGTACGCCCTTTGCGTCCCTGGTGTGAGGAAAGCGGTCAGTGTGTAGTGGTGGAGGCCATGACTGAGACCCGGGTGAGGCCATGGAGCTGTACCTTGGAGCCGCTGAGGATGTAGTGCTTCTTATCTTCACTTAATACGGCCCTGGCCTGGATGGAGGCAGCGTCACTCCCACTGCGGGGACAGAGACAGGCAGTTGAGCACAGTAAAGCTTGGAATCAAGAAGAAAGATTTGGAGAGCCCCAAAAGGTTTTTACTTTAATACAGGAGTTGGCAAACTTTTAAAATAAAGGGCCAGGCGAGATATACATATATATCTACATCTATCTATCTATCTATCTATCTATCTATCTATCTATCTATCTATCGATATCTCTTTACAGGTGACAGAAAGTCTGTCCCAATTCCTTAATTCTGCCAAGTTGGCGTGAAGGCAGCCAGACAGTGTGTAAACAAATAGACATATTCCAGCAACACTTTCTTTACAAAAACAAGTGGCAGGCTAGATTTGGTTGACCCCCTGCTTTATCACATCAGATAAAAAAGTGGCAGCGAAAACTTGGGCTTAAGGTTAAATCTGGAAATGTTTGCTCAAAACAGGCTCATCAGAGGTCCTGTGAAGATGAGTTCAGGGCGCGCGATTGTTACGTGGGGGTAAGCAAGATGGAGTGTGGTCCAAGGAGCACACCATCAGAAGTCCTGGGTCCTGCGCCAGCCTTATTATTTATGTCTTAGCTGTGTGGCCTTGGGCTGATCACACAACCTCAGTTCCTAATCTGTAAAATGGGAACACTACCAGCTGCCCCACATACTCTGAGAGTTGCTTTGAAGTCTGAAAGCATATCACATGTCAGTGTGTGCAAACTATAAAATAATTATTTAACAGGTGCTGTCAAGTATGTTATCTCATTTATAAATCTCACTGGGACAGAGGATAAAGTAAAGATAATAGAACTGGCAAGAAAAGTTGATGAGTTGATTCCTGAAAGATTTCAGGGAGGGAAGAAATCAGAATCACTACCCATTCAGCCAAACTATGGCCCTCCTCCCAGAGCACCCTGGAAGTGCGTTCCATGATCCCTCCCACCAAAGGGCAGACCTGGCTGGCTCGGTCAGGCAGAAGGCGGCAATGTGCTCCCCAGATGCCAGTTTGGGTAGGTACTTGGACTTCTGCTCCTCAGTGCCGGCCAAAATGAGCCCCTAAATAAGACACACACAGGCTGATTTCAGCTGTGGGGAGAAGAGTGTGAAATGTGCTTGCAGTACATGGCTTCTTCTGATGGAAATACTCGCCTCACACAAGAGGTAACACCCTGGCTCAGAACTGGCAGCCTTGGGTAAAAATGGGGAGCTGCTGGACAGTATAGGAAGCCAGGTTGCTAAGGAGCCACCCTAACGTGCACACTCAGGGATTTCCATCGCAGTCCTCCGTTTCCTGGCTAGGTGGCCTTGGGTAAGGAATATCCCTCCTGAGCCTCCATCTCCTTCCCCACCAATACACAGGATAATCTCATGGATTATCCTGTGGATTGGGTGGTTTGGATGATAAAAGGTGAAGGTGTGGGAATGCTAGAGCCATACCTGGCATAAAGAAGGTGCACAGTCAATGTCAGAACTGTCCCACTCCCTTCACAGTGCCAAGTGGGTAAGACCACTGTTTCCACTGCTCTTGGGGTGGGGTGGGGGGAAGCCATGCCCATTGCTCACTCAGTTCCCTTTCATTTCTACATTGAGCAGAAACAAGCCAGGGAAGTGGATTATTGCTAAGAGCTGTGTGCCCCTGGACCTACCCCCAAAATGCTCCAAGCCCAGAGGGCTGAGGAAGACATGTGCACCAAGAGCAGGAAGGACAAGCTCCAGCCCCGAGTGACAAGAGCTCAGAGGCGAGGCTCACTTCCAGCCCAAGGTGAAGGCAGGCTCCACAGAGGCAGCAGCATCAGAACTGGGCCTTCATAGGATGGGTCAAAGGTGATGGGGAAAGGAGGAAGACTCAAAGGGGAGGAGTGGTGAGATCTAGGGCTGTTGCTCGTGTGGGGACTGAGCACCACATGGTGTGTGCCAAGTGAGGCTCCACAGGACGAGGCTGCAGGAGACGGAGCAGCCCTCCTCTGAGACCCTGAGGAAGCAAGCCCGATTCACTTCCTGAAGGTCTTCTGGCATCACGGGCTGGCGCCAGAAGACCTTCAGGAAGCATCCCATACTTGACCTTGAGGCCGATAGCCTGATGTGCTGCCAGGGTCACAGCAATTGACCCGTCCAAGCTGACAATTTCCCCTAGCCGAGCATACATGGTGTTGGAGAGGCCCAGGCCACCTGAAGAAGAAACAGACCAGTTTTACTGATGGACCAGCCCCAAATTCCTCCCATTAAAGGCAAATGGCTTTACTGGTCTTTTCTGATTATAAAAGTAATGCCACATCACCATTAGAGGAAAATCACAACTGAGAAAGCTACAAAGAAAACAAAGTACCCATACACATTACTCACAGCATTTTTGTGTATATCCTTTCAGACTTTATATAGGCATATGAGCATATGTAGATATATTTTTAATATTAAAATATAATCTATAATACAAAAATATAAAAATACCTATACCTATATTAAATCATTTAGTATGTTGTGAATCTCTGTCACAGGTACAGATCTTTATAAATGAAACAGATGTCCAACATCTCTCCCCAGTACCTAGTGGACCCTAGGATCCCGATTCTGTGCTCACTCTTTGTTGTGGGGGGCTGTCCTGTGCACTGTACGATGTTTAGCACCGTCCTGGGCCTCCACCCACTAGAGTCCAGAAGTTACACCTCTCCCACAATTTGAGCAACGAAAAATGTCTCTAGACATTGCCAAATGTCTCCTGGGGGACAAAATCACCCTGATTGGGAATCACTGTTCTGGAGTGAAAAAACAAAAATTAAAGAAACAAAAACTCCATTGAACTTATGTATTTTGCATTTCATCTTCAACTTCTACAGGTGGCCAGTTGGTGGCCTTATGTGCATCTCACGAATGACAAAATGAGGCCTCAGGTCATGTAGCCAACATGTCGCAGGACTGGGCTCTGAACTCAGGGGTATGTGCAGTCGCAGGCCCCGGAGCCGCCACTCACACACAAAAGGAAGGGCTGAGTCCCGAAGGGATCGCAGTGGCACTGCCTGGTATGGAGTCCCATGGGCTCAGTGTGGGACGCAGGCAAGGCCAGGCTTCTATAGTACCACCACCACCCCTCTCCACTTCTGTTTCAATCAAAACTTTTACTTATTTTATATACTGAGTGAGTCAGTTTTGTTTGTTAAAAAAATAAATTCTGATGCTTTCTCTCCCAAGGAAGTTACCATTAAAATCCTGTGGGACAGCAGTCACATTGGGAAGGGTGACAGGCACATGGAGACTGCAGGTGCTGGAGGAACTGGAGGCAGGAAGGAGCCACACATCAGCCTGGTTGGTCGCAGGGACCCAGGGAGGAAATCCTGGCTTGTGGGAGAAAAGGCCTCCGTTTCCCTGAACAGGGGTTTCCAACCAGTGTTTAGAATGCTCCAGATTGGGAGCATTTCCCCAAAACTTCTTGGGCATGAGCATAAGGTTGCTGCTGCCCTAACTTCCCAAGGAAGTATTAAAAAAGCCCCAAATGTGACTACTATCATTTCATGAAAGAAAGAGCATTTTCATACCAGAAAGTAGGACATAAAACAAAAATAAGGGATGGGGAGTTGTGTAATCTCATACCAACACAGGTGCACACATATGAGTACACACACACACACACACACACACACTCTGGCATACAAGACATACAGAAGTAAAAAGATGATGTACCCCGATTTTACTCAGAAATTGTTTGAGGGAATAATTAATTACCTTTCATCAATCAAGAAGTGATTTTACAATGATCTTGAAGGGGAAACACATACTATTAGTTTGGCTACCTCTGGCAGCTTTCTCAAGCTATTTCTGTTTTTTCCAAGCACTTATGTTTTTTCAGTTGCTAACAGACCAACTACCACCCTCCAGCTCTACTCCACCTGCTTTCTATCCTAATATTTAACGTAACTTGTTTGTTATGGCACAGTTTCCCCGTTGCTTGTCAGCTGTAACACTGACCAAGTGTCAGATGTCTGGAAAGAGCTCAGTCTCTCCCAACCTCACTCAAAGGCTACAGATTTGTGTTAAGAAGCAGGGTATGTAGCTTCTCCCAGCAAAGGTCTATGCTGTGTCCCCACCACTGGGGGTGGCAAAATCACTGATGATTTTGTCTTCTGCAGAAATTTTATACATTTGGAAATGTGGAAGGTGTTTCACATGATGACAAGATACACCATTAAACATTTTAAAACAAAGCAATAAACATACATATAAACTAAGATTTAACCTGATTAAAATATGCCTCAGAATCAAAGAAATTAGGTATTACACTAACTTGTACTAAATTTTCACATTTTGTCTCAGACTGCACCAGCTATAGGATTGGTACAAGTGGGAACTTACTCTACAGATATTGAGGGCCCCCAACTTGAGACTGATAGGGAAGCCCTAACTTTAGTGTCTAGAGGTAAACCAGGCAGAAAGACAGAACATCAAGACAAACTCCTGCTTCTGTGACTTGCTGTGCAAAATCTCATTTACAATCTGATTGGGAAAATGCCCCAAATATTAAAAACCTCCAATGACCAGCTTACAGCCATGAAATATGCCCAGCCCTTAAAGCACCACTAACACCTCTCTCTCCTAACCTCCTGCCCACAGCTGATCAAATCTGGCAGCAGCCCCAACTAGCAAAGGCTCAGGGAGGGGGCTCAGAGAGATGGATGCAGGGTCAAGGCTGAGAGCCTAGAGCCACGGTTTGATGTCAAAAGAGCATGAGAGTAAAAATAGTGTGTGCATGGCTGTGCTCTTGTCTTTTTGAAACATTTTCTATTCAGTCCTTTCCCCCCACACACTGCTTGCCTGTCCCCTTAATCCCACAGAACTGAGATAACCACCTCCAGATTAGGTAAAAGAAAAACAAGCTGCAATGATTAGTCAAATATAAGCAGGCAGAATTACACTGGGGTCCTGAGCAGAAAAGCAAGGTCTCTGACATGGGGGGTAAACACATCACTATAATGGTCCAAGAATTAACATGCATGGTCCAAAAGACTCAAGGCCGAGCTCCAAGCTGCCTCTGGGTCAAATCCCCACTTAGATACATACAGCTTGTGCCCTGCAGCCATATGCCTTGTTCCTTTGTACCGAGTTCAGAAACCAAACCCAGGGGACCCTTCCCCTACAGCATGCGTGGTTCTAGGGGTAATTCCTGTACCTACCAGACCAAAGGGCTGTGCAGGGAGAGGACACTGCAATCAGCCTATTTTGGCTGTGACACACCCCCTCCACCACCCACAGAGACCTAGCAAGCAGACACTCTAAAGTGGTCCTTTATCCATTTCAGAGGAAGAAAGCGCAGAACTCAGCAGCTCTTTCTGCCTACAGGCCCCTTAGCCAGTCCACACATACTCACCAGCTGGCCATTCGCATTTAGCCCACAACTGACATTTTTATTAATTCCAGGGGTTTTACAGCTTGATCTGGACATATGCACTTAACGGCTACCTTTCCCAAACAGAACGCTTTTTTTGGACAAATACAGAGCACTTTCTTAAGAGCCAACCAGTGATGGGGTGGTTTCCTTTACTTACCATATTCTTCTGGGACTTGCATCCCAAAAAGCCCCAGGCTCTTCAGTTTCTCTAAAGTTTCCTTTGGGATTTTTCCCTCCTGGTCAATTTTTCGTGAGTCCACTACCAAGAAAAAATATCTTGATTAAACAAAATATTAGCTTTGTTAATATAAATACAAGTAAACAGAACAATTTTTGTATAGTATAAATCTCAGTGTCCGGGAAAAAAAAAAATCCCAGTGTCTGAAACTTTGAAACTGGAAATTGCATAGTCACGATTATTCATCATGTGTTCAATTTTACCTCATTAGCCCTGAAAGAATTGTATCTTAAAAAATTACCAATACTAGGTTGTGTTGTTTCTTGATCTGGGTGCTATTCACATGGGTGTCTTCACTGTAAAAGACAGCAGCAAAATATGAGGTCGGACAATTAAGTTCATGAACTCATCCTAGAAAAAGTGCTACATACCTCATTGCTGAATATCACTACAGTCACCTTCAAAGTACTCCCCTTGGGAAGCTATGCACCGACGCCAATGCCTAGTCTATCCTTCAAAGCAATTTTGGAACCCTTTTTCTGGAGTGGCCATCAGAGCTGTCATCGTATTACCCTTGATGTCCTGAATGTCATCAAAATGTCTTCCTTTCAATATTTCCTTTATTTTCGGTAAAGAAAGAAGTCACTGGGGGCCAGATCAGGTGAGTAGGGAGGGTGTTCCAATATAGTTATTTGTTTACTGGCTAAAAACTCCGTCACAGACAGTGCCGTGTGAGCTGGTGCGTTGTCGTGATGCAAGAGCCATGAATCGCTGGCAAAAAGTTCAGGTCGTCTAACTTTTTCACGCAGCCTTTTCAGCACTTCCAAAGAGTAAACTTGGTTAACTGTTTGTCCAGTTGGTACAAATTCATAATGAATAAATCCCTCTGATAGCAAAAAAGGTTAGCAACATCGTTGCAACAAGTTCGCAAACTTAATTGTCAGAACTTGTATAAAAAGAACAAGTATACACATGAAAAAAATGTTCAACATCACCCATTAGGGAAATACCAATTAAAATTACAATGAGCTATCATTCCACAGCTATCAGCATGGCTAGAAAACAAGCAAATAAACAAAAAAACAATAACACCAAAACTTGGCAAAAAGGCACAGAAACTAGATAAACTACACATTGCTGGTGGGAATAAAAAGCAGTATAGCCACTTTGAAAATAACTTGGTAGTTTCTTTAAAAACTAAACACACAAATACCTTAGGACCCGACAATTACACTCCAGGGCATTTATCCCAGAGAAATGAAAACACATTGACACAAAAACTTACACACAAATGTACACAGCAGTTTTATTCATGAAAGTCCCCAAAGTGAAAACAACCCAGATATACTTCAACATTAGAAAACTCAACAAACTGTGGTAATTCACAGGTAATCCATGGAATACTACTGAGCAATAAAAAAAATAAATCATTGATACACATGGCAACTTGTAGGAGAATTATGCTGAGTGAAAATAGGCAATTGCAAAAGTTTACATACTATATGGGTCCATTAATATAACATTCTTGAAATAACAAAATTATAAAAATTATAATTTATAACAGGTTAGTAGTTGCAACAGATTGGGGGAGGGGAGGGCAAGATGGCTACGAATATAAAAGGACAGCATGAGAGATCCTTGGGATGTAACTGCTTTGCACCATAATTGTGGTGGTTGTAACATTAACTACACATGATAAAATTGGATAAGTATACACCCACAAATACAAATCAGTACATGCTAAAACTGGTGAAGTCTGAATAAGATGGTATTGATGTCAATTTCCTGGTTGTGATACTGCACTACAGTTATGCAAGATGCATACTATAAAGTTATATACTAGGGGAAACTGGGTGAAGGATATAATTGATCTCTGAATTATTTCTTACAACTACAAGTGAATCTACAATTATATCAGCATAAAGGTTTTTCACACAAATAAATGTTATCATATTAAACATACATATTAAATTTAATGGAAATAACCCTGAAGTTGCTAAATCCCCAACGAAACACCCACATTTGCTGAAATCCAACTAAACTGATTTTGAACAAAAACTATGAGATTGTGTGACATTATTTTATCTTGTTTACACATCTTAAATGTGTAAATGTGAATTTTACTAATGAACAAAATGCATATTCTAAAGAAAAATTCCATGAATAGAAATATATACAGAAAAAAATAGAATTCCACATACTGAAAAAATAATTTTTAAACAATCAGTTGTATACACTAGCAACAATCAGAACTTGAAAGTTAAAAAACACAATTTACAGCAATATCAAAAAATTTTAAATATTTATAGATGTTTTATAAACCATAAAAAATGTTAAGTATAGGGCCGCCCAAGTGGCGCATTGGTTAAGAGTTGGCTTGGGACGCCAGCTCTGAGCAGCAGGGCCCTGGTTCAGATCCCACATTACAGCCAGTGATGCTGTACCCTCTACAGCTAAGACGGTGAACAACAGCTCGACCTGGAGCTGGGCTGCCGTGAGTCGCCGGCAACGGCGTAGGCTGCAATGAAGCTGCAGTGAGCTGCCATAAGCTACCGTGAGTGGCTGGGAGCCTGCGTGAGCAGCCGGCGGCCAGGGTGAGCTGCCAAGAGCCACCGTGAGCGGCTGGCTGTCCAGTGGCCAGTGACCAATCTGCCTCAGCCGGGAAGAGTGCAATGATAGTACCAACATGGGCCAGTGTGGAAGCCACGTCCTCCACAACTAGACTGAAGAACCAAAGGACAGCAACTTGTGTGTTACCCTCCCCCAATTCCCCAATAAAATCTTTTAAAAAAAAATGTTAAGTATAATTTGATAAATCATCAAAAAACTTTTGACAAAAATTGTCCAAGGTTTTTACACTGACGACCACACACAAAATGCTGCTCAGAGAAATTAAATGAGAACCAAATAAATGGAGAGATATACCATAATCATGGATCAGAAGATTCAATATTGTTGTAATCTTAATTCTCCATTAAACCAATTTACAGGTAGATTTCTTGTAATCCCAACCATAACACAAACAGGTCTTTCTGTTGAAATTGAAAGGCTGATGCTAAAATTTATAAGGAAATGCAAAGGACCTAGAGAAGCCAAAACAACTTTAGAAAACAACTACCTGGCTGGATTCAAGGCTTATTACAAAGCTCAGTAGAAGACAATGTAATATTTGCATAAAGATAGACAGATCAATAGAACAAAGGATTTGGAAATAGACCCACACATCAATGGTCAAATGATTTCTTTCCAATATTTTATATTGTGCTAAATATACATAACATAAAATTTACTATCTTAACTATTTTTAAGTATATAATTCACTGGTATTATGTACATTCATATTATTGTGCAACCATTCACCACCATCTATCTCCAGAACTTTTTTCATCTTCCCAAAATGAAACTCTACACCCACTAACCAACAGATCCCCGTTTCCACCTTCCCCTAGTTCCTGGAAACCACCATTCTACTTTCTGTCTCTATGAATTTGACTTCTCTAAGTGACTCATGTAAGTGAAATCACAGTAATTTGTCCTTTTGTGATTGGCTTATTTCATTTAGTCCTCAAGCTTCATTCACATTATAACATGTGTCAGAACTCTCTTCCTTTCAAAGGTTGAATAATATTCCACTGTATGTTTATACTACCTTATTACCCATTTAACCAGACAACCTATCTGTGTCTTTGGATCTAAAGTAAGTCTCCTACAGAATTGGATCATGTGTTCTTGTTTTTAATCCATTCTGACAACCTCTGAGTTTTGATTGGACAGTTTAATCCATTTACTTTTTTTTTCTTTTTTTAATAATTTTTGCCTTTTTTTTTTTAAGATTTTTATTGGGGATTTGGGGGATGGGAACAGCGCTGGGAAATTGGGGGGAAGGGGAACAGACAAGTTGCTGTCCTTTTGTTCTTCAGTCTAGCTGTGGAGGACGTTGCGTCCCTGGCCCAAGTTGGCACCATCATTGCACTCTTCCAGGGTGAGGCAGATCAGTCGCCGGCTTCTGGACGGGCTCACAGCAGCTGCTGGCTACACATGGTAGCCCATGGCAACCCACTGCAGCAGGGGCTGCAGCCTACGCCGTCGCCAGCGACTCATGGCAGCCCAGCTCCAGGTTGAGCTGTTGTTCAGCATCTTAGCTGTAGAGGGGACAGCGTCACTGGCCCACATGTGGGATCCCAACCGGGGCCCTGCTGCTCAGAGCTGGTGTCCCAAGCCAGCTCTTAACCAACGCGCCACTCGGCCAGCCCTAATCCATTTACTTTTAAAGTAATTATTAATGAGAAACTTCTGTTATTTTGCTATTTGTTTTCTATATGCTTTATAACTTTTTTGTCCTTCATTTCTTGCATTCCTGTCTTCTTTTGTGTTTAGTTGATTTTTTGCAGTGAAACGTTTAAATTCCTTTCTCATTTCATTTTGCGTATATTCTTTAGCTATTTTTTTATTACTATGAGGAGTATATTTAACATGCTAAAGTTATAACACTGTAATTTGAAATTATACCAGCTTAACTTCAATAACATACTAAAATTCTGTTCCTTTAATGGCTCCGTCCTTATCCCTTTCTCTTATTGATGTCACAAATTTACATCTTTACAACATTGTGTACAAAAACAAATAATTATTTTACATGCACTATCCTCTTAAACTAATAGAAAACAAAATTTGAAGTTACAAACCAAAGTTATAATGATACTAGCTTTTAGACTAATAATATTTTAAATGTATCAGTCTCTTAAATCATGTAGAAAATAAAAAGTAGAGTTACAAGCCATTATTACAATACCAACTTTTATAAATGCCACATATTTACCTTTATTAAGACACTTACTTCTTCATGCAGCTTCAAGTTACTATCTAGTGTCCTTTCATTTCAACCTGCTGGTATCCCTTTGGCATTTCTTGCAGAGCAGATCCACTGGTAAACTTCCTCAGGTTTTATCTGGAAATGTCTTAATTTCTCCTTTACTTTTAAAGGCCAGTTTTGCCGAATAGGATTCCTGATTGAGTTTTGGGTTGTTTTTTTTTTAGCACTTTGAGTATATTGGCCCACTGCATTGTGCCCTCCAAAGTTT